TGACAGTCTCGCTTGTACCAACTGTTTAGCAAGACTAGCATCCATATTGAAACGATACTGAAGTACACTATTATGAATAGAATCGTTTTATATCAGACTATGAGAATTTCATCAAACCCTCTCCTATACCGACTATTCTTTATATCTCCATCCTTGTCGATTACTACAAAGCCGTATCTCTGCTTCCAACGAAATGAACATAACTCTGTAAATTTGCGAAATGACATATCAACATTCACATGATCGTCATAAATATGTTTCAAATTGGTGACGTCCTGTTTGAACATGATGATGAGGTTAGTGTTGTCTCTTGTTAACCTTTTAAGGAAAGAACTGTAAGTCTGACATAGAAAGAAAACGTCAGTATTTTTATGATGTCCGAAGCAAAAGAAATCTCTGATGATATTTTGATTGCATGTTGCAACATCATCGAATATGATTATTGAGTTCGGGGCTACTTCGTTCGGAGATATCACTTCATCACCATCGTTGTATTCATAATATCCTATTTCTTTTAGAGGTTTGAAGAGAGTTCTCAACTATTCGTATTTTGGGTGATAGAGAGACTTGGAGTACACATATATATTCTCAAATCTCAAACCGTTCGGATCATCGAGCAAACTCATCATACAGTTGGTTTTTCCACATCCTGATGAACCTACCAGGAGGCCCCTTTTCGAATTTCCTTCGAATATATCTCCATGTTTCTTCAGCTGGTGTGGAATTATCAAATTATCATGATTGGTCACGGGAAGAATTACTTTATGTTTCTTTACTTTCATCTCTGACGATAAAATAATTACTGATAAATTGTTATAAATCTCATTATTATAATATAGTGTTGAAGATCGGTGTCCTTCCAGTATCAGATAGAACTTCTACGTGGGTTATATAATGATTGTATACGATCGAAGAATCAGTAATCGAAAGAATACTAAGGGGGCAGGTATATTGAATACTCTCATAAAAAAGTTGCCTTTCGAACTGCATATACCTGGTTACAATTTTTGTGGGCCAGGTACGAAGTTGTCCGAAAGACTTGAACGTGGGGATCGAGGTGTCAACCCGCTAGACGAAGCTTGCAGAGAACACGACATAGCCTATTCTAAATACCCTGATTTGAAAAGAAGGAACCAAGCAGATAGAATTTTGGCCGAAACAGAATCGAGACGTTCGAGTGAGAAAAACACGAGAGTTGGTGAGAAAATTGCCTCGCTTGGCATTGCAGGAATAATGAAAACTAAGAGCAAACTGGGTATGGGATTGAATAATGAGATGATGGTAGCCAAGAGAAGGAAGAGAAATAAAAGGCGTAAGAAAAAGGTGGGAGGAGCAATCAGTTTCACTCGAGCTATTCGCAAAGCAAAGGAAGGGGTCAGAGGTAAAAGAAATATTGACATTATCCAGGCTGCCCAACAAGCACTATCATCAATAGGTGGTAGAAAAGTTTTGAAGCCTAGAAAAAGAATTATTCCCATTCCCAAATCGGGGGGTTTCATTCCACTGATTCCCCTCTTTGCTGCACTTGGTGCACTCGGTAGCTTGGGTGGTGGTGCTGCTGGAATTGCGCAAGCTATAAATAAAGCTAAAGCAGCGAGAGCACAACTGGAAGAGAACAAAAGACACAATTTGAAAATGGAGCAGGCCGCCTTGGGAAAAGGCCTATTAATGAAACCTTACAAACATGGTCTAGGATTGTTTCTGAAACCGTATCCAAAAAACTGAATTTGAAGCTACCACACCGTCCACTGACCAACGTAGATTTATTGAAATTTGTAAAAGAATTACAAATACCGTATTTTCGAGGGGTGTTTATGTTGGATGAATTTCGTGAGAAAATCAGGAAATATTAGTGTGGCATAGCTAACCTTAACAGAAAAAGTGAGAAATGCAGTCATTGGGTGTGTTATAAAAAATCCGGACGTCATATCTCCTACTTTGACAGCTACGGTGACTTGAGACCACCTCTCGAACTCATCAAATATTTCAATAGTGATGGTAGCTATAATATAATAAAATATAATTATGATAATATTCAAGCAAACAATCCATATAATTGTGGACATTTATGTCTCAAATTTTTATATATTTAGAAGAAAATGCAGAATATGGAATTGGATTGATTGGCTTTGAAACTTTCAATGTCATCCCGAATGTTGATGAACATAATAATCAATTCGTATTCGGTAACTTCATTACAATTCCTGAGGGCTCATACGAAATCAGTGATCTCAATGAAATTATTTCTTCACGAGTCAAAGATATCGATAAGGATGCAGAAATAAATATCATACCAAATTTCAATACATTGAAAGTAGTCATCGATACAAATAGAAGGATTAATTTCAAATACGACCGCACGATTAGAGAATTGCTGGGATTCAATAATCGTGTTCTAGAAGCATATCAACAACATACGTCTGATGAATCAGTGAACATCTTGGGTGTCAATGCTATCAGTATATCTTGCAACATAGCAACAGGCAGCTACCATAACGGCAAAGAAGCCCACTCGCTATTGTCTTTTTTTTCGACAGTGGTTCCTGGTTATAAGATTGTTCTGAACATCGAAACTGTGATATATTTCAAGATAAGTGACAAGACAATAAATAATATTACCATAAAAGTATTGGACCAAACCGGAAGACTTGTGAATTTCCGTGGTGAAACAATAACCGTAAGTCTTCACTTGAAAAAACTTTAGGAGCCTGAATGGTTATCAGAACCCTTGCGAAAAACATCCAGTATCAGAAAAAACACCAAGAAGTTAACGTCTTCTAATCGTCTATTCCTCAAGTCTTTAGGGTTTACAGTTCTGGTATGATGGATATTTTGAATATACATCAACAACCGCTCATAGACCAATCAGTTCAGGAAATAGAATATCATTCGTATCAACCATTCACACAAAAAATTGATTACAATGATGAAGTGAGAATTCAAGTTCCTACTTTGGATTTGTATACTTTGCCATGTCAAGTGAACCATTATTTATTCAAACCTGCAGTGCCTTTTTCTGCCTTGCAAGAGTCCGATAAAAAACAGGTTCGTTACGTTGAGAAATATCATAATGGAATTAAGTACAGTTCACGTCTGATTGATTACGAGGAATTGAATGATATTCTACTGGGCCATCTGAAAGATGTCGATTTTGTGTATGTGAGAGGATACCAAACATTTGAATTTTTGACTGGACTATTGTCTCCATGTGCCAGACCGAAAATCATAAATGTTGAAACTTTCCATAACATAATGACGACCACTACATTCAAACCGGACATCCCTTTGTGCATGAATCACAATGTGAGTGACGAACAATTTTATGGTTCACTACGTAATTGCAAAAATTTGCATACCTGGATAACAAGTCTCCTACCACAGTGAAATTTTACAATAAGTAACGTACCAAAGTGAAAATTTTCATTTCGCCAAGTTCCGTTAGGAAGAAATGTTCTCAGATCTCATTGATAAACATATTGAGAATTTGGAAAAGTTAAAAACAAGTATCAACATTTTCGAAATGACCAAGCAGATTCGAAATTTGACTGTATCACTATGTGCGCAACAGCAAAGTGGATTGGTGATGAAGCAAAACAAAAATTTGGTACTGTATTTGGACAACAAGAAACCACCATCAGGGGACGAAAATCTATCTCCAGGTGACCTTCATAAATGGCAGAAAGTCTTCAACAACGAGAAACGATTTCAAAATCTCAATTGCAATACTACCAAAAGGATAATTTTATGTGAGAGTAATGAAAATAATGTAAATTGTGTTTAATAAATTTTTCAGAAATAATTAGTGCATTATTCATAATTTAAAGAATTCAACAACAGAATAACTATCTCAGTTTAATTGAAAATGATACAGTTCATCATCAACAATGGCAACATTAAGTTCGACTTATGTAATCTTGTACACGCTTGTCCATAATATATTTTATGTTAATCAACCCTACAATGCCAGAGAAGTTTTTATTTGTTTCGATAACAATGGTACGAAAAATGAAAGCTGGCCTTCAACTTGGACTAAAATGCTACCAGTATTAGTCAACAACGGTCATCTACCCGTATTAATGACCGATGTATCACAAAACGCTAGTTTTCATAAGTACAGAATTATATTCCAAGATAATACTGTGGGAGATACGAAAAACAGACAAAATTTGATCTATCGTGAAACATGTGAGTCAAGAGAGTATTATTCAGATACCTATTTTAATTGTTTTGTATTTAATATTCAGTAGTCTGATTATATTATTTTTGTGTTATATTCTGCATGTCATTTAAAAATTTAAGAAAATGTATATGAAGGCAACGATTACCTTGGGAGAAAATTAAATTGCATTCTGTTTTCTTCCCATACCATCATACCAAAATAATATCCCGATTCATTATTGGATCACCCTGTATTATGTGTTGTATATTCCCATTATTCCAGCATAGCATAGTCATTTTGAAAATGCCCATTACCTCAGATGAAAATTAAAACGTTTTCTGGTGTACACAAATTATTCTTCCATTCATCATCATTAACGTTGAAATAATTCTCGATATAAAAATAATATTTCTATTCATAATGTAATCAACGTATTTTCAAGTTCAACGCTAATTGTATACCCATTAATTTATAATTGGCTTCAATGTGTTGTGTATTTTCCATACCATATCAATTGCCTACCCGTATAATTTATCAAGCGGTATCTATTTACATATTTAACCTATTATCGTTATGTCCGAAGACTTTCGCGACGACAATAACGAACGTTTTAAAATCGCGATCGCCTTCATTATAGACCTAATTCAGGGTTGGGGGCAGTATAGTTTTCATTGGCACCCCGGGATGCATACCAAATCCAATGTCACTGTATTTCAACAAGTGGACCATTCAGATTGGTTTCTCGACTCCCGGTACTGAAAACTGGTTAGACGTAATGTATCATGTACCAGTTTGCGTCAGTAAAAACGCGCGACCTGCAAAATATAGTTGGACAAATCTTTTGTCAGTGCATAGAAAATGTTTCGAAATATACAGGATGTGTCTGAATGAATGTGCAACGAGATTGCAGTGCATAGAAATTGTTCAGAAATAAACAGGATCTCTCAGGATGATCAAACTCTAGGTGAGTATTCTACAAAAAAAATTATTCAAAAACATCATTGTTAGCATTTAATTTGTGGTACATTTATTCTCTTTGTTGGAAACAAATGAAAATTGGAACATTTATAGTTTCTAAAATAATTTCCATGAGTCGAATACACTCCTATAGAATTTGGTATATTCTTCCTGAATCACCCTGTATGTCAAAATTTGAAATAAGCACAGAGACTATATTTTGGAAAGAACTCACCGATAATTCCAAGCTATTTCATGCCACAGTTCCTTTTAAATGATGTCAAAAATGACCAGTGGGGTAGTAACAAACCCATTCGAGTGTATTGTTGTGGGTATATAATATTGTATGAATGAAATCATCATATAACTAACTATTTTTATTCAAACCTGAAACAAACGAAATAAATCAGAGGAATGGAAATCGATTAAGGCATGAGAAATTACCTTATAACACACAAAAAAAATATTCGTCTTCCGTAAACTGAAACAAAATTTGAATTAAAAATGAAAACAATCGAGAACAAATTATTTTGTTTACCGATATTGCTCATACTAGTAGGGCATCCTGCTCCTCCATGTAAAAAATTGTATAGGGCCCCACATTGCCAACGTTAATTAATCCTGGGGGGGCACTTGATCCTCCCAAGATCCTCCCTTGAAGCAACAGGATCGGTTTGTTCTAAAAAAGACACAGAATTCACTTGATAATGCTGAATTGTTTGGTATCGAAATAATTTGATGAATTCTGATGAAATTCATTTTGTATTTTCCAAAAACAATTATCATTGTAGAAAATGCGGACAAAATATCAATCAAAAAACTATTAAGCAAATAGAATAATTTTTCTACAAACGCTTAACAAAGTAGTCTTTGACGCTTTCAAATTCCAGCACAAAGTTGACGTTTTCCCAGAAATGTCATTCTTTGACAGCATTTGAGCTCGTGAGCGAAAATATTGAAAAAACGCTCGCTTATTTCTGTAACCTATACTCATCTATTCTTGAAAACCCCCAATTCTTTCATGATGGAAAATAGTGACAGTGAATCATCAAACACACCTCCTTCCTGATGATATAGCAGAAAGCGCAAGAGTTTAAATCTCTTACCGGAGAAATCAAGGAAGAAATATGAATTACAATATGATACATTCATAAATTGGTGCCACTCCGAGATGGTGAATATGTATTCATAAAACGTTTTACTGGCTTATTTTGTTAAAAAATCAAAGACTTTGAAGTCATCAACTCATTGGTCTATATATTCGATGGTACGTATACATGCTTGAATGTTAAAGATAATATCGGAATCAATAAGTATCTGAAACTTATCGCATTTCTCAAGAAACAATCTATTGGATATAAAGCGAGAAAAATCCAAAACATTCACCGCTGAAGATATATACCAACAAATTTCTACGAGAAGCTCCCGATGAAGCATATCTGCTGATGAAAACGATGAATTATATTATATTTAAACTCTTTCTTGTCATCAGAAAGACAGTGTATCTTTATTTTATTGCATCAATGAGTAATGTTCAATTTGATTGCAGAGCTTATCGTACTATGGCTCAGAGGTCTGAAGCTCAGGTTGCCACGCTGGTGGTCCAGTTTAAATTCTCGGTAGGCCCGACATTTTTTTTCTGGCTTGTCAGTTAATTCAGTTTTTCTTTATTGTTTCCTTTGGACATATGGGATAATATGGATTAGAACTTTCTCAACTATTTCAATCGCTCATACTTTCAGGGTAGTTATTTCCAAAAGCTGCGTTAGTAGAAAAAATCTTGTGTGTATTTCGAGCACAAAGTATTATTGCCGCTCTCCAAAGATTACCGCGCTCCGCACCGCATCGCGCGGTAACTTTCTTTGTCGAGCGGCAATCTATCACTTTGCGCTCTAATTACACAAATAGCTATTTTTACATGGGTCCGTTCTATGAGGTTGAATATTATTTTGATTATTTATTGATAATTATTGATCCTCACAAAAATTTACAATTTCTCCCGTAATACAGCCTGCTTTTTGAAATTCATTAAGATAACCGATATCCTCATGCTTTGTATCCAAAACACGGATATCAAAAAGATTCCTGGTTCCTGAGAGAAATCAATATGAAATGAAAATAAATGAATAAAATATACTCACTCTTAAATGACCAGGTAGCAGATTCTTAATCACTTCTATTGGTATCTCTTCTGGGAAAATTTGAACATTGTTTATTTTTTTATTAGGTACAGAAATATTTTCAACTTACCCATGTTAATAGCTGCACTAAAAAAAATAATAATAATAATTTGAGCAGATAATATACAAAATGAAATGTATAATATAACATGGAAATTCGTTTATATATGGACCCTATTTTGATTATCTTTTCGTACACATTCTTTTAAGGATATTAACTAATCAGCAATACTTACTGACGCAAATCATTATATCGCTAATTCGTTTTTCCAGAAATTTCATATCAGTCTTATTAGGTCTATTTCTCTGTTTGTTCAATAAGTGCACATTTTTATAGATTGCAGTAATATCGGAGTTAATGGCGCATCATTATAATGCTAATTTGCGCGACCAGAATCGCCGTGTACAGGACGATCCGGAATCACAGGGCGATCCTTCGACACCGTTAAGACTTTCTGGCAATTCATTAATAAAAAAAACAGACGATATTCGCAGGGCTAGGAGAGTACGAAATCACATAGGACTTCATGTGTTGGGATTTCTAAATCATGATTTGGAAGTCCCAGCACGGAAAGCCCTATGTGATTTCGGAATCGACATTTCATAACAGACAGATATATACAATACCAACTCACATAGGGGTTTACATATGTTAACATTTTGTAAAAAAGCAGAATTCCAACTCACATAGGACTTTGCGTGGCGGGACTTCCAAATCATGATTTGGAGTTCCTAACACAGAAGGTCCTATGTGATCCGAATCTCTCCTAGCCCTGCTACTTTTCCTAATTGAATGTCAATATTTGAGGAGGCGATTACTGGGCCCATTTTGAAAAGATAATGTCAAATGAACGTATGACCTAAACGTCTCAACTTTTGAGATACTTACGAAATGAATTGTTTTTTATCAAAATATGTAATTCCACTTGATTTGATTTCCTGAATTGTTTCAGTCCGAATCACGGTTTTCACCTTAAAAATAAAATCTATTTCTCTACATTGTGATATTACATATTATTAACGATATTTTCATGATCATGCAGTGAAAAAGTTTTTATTTCAAGATCAAATTTGCTTAGAAATGATTGAGAATTTCTGGAATGATTTCAAGTTCGAGATTAATCAGTTGTGTACCATCAATGTCTGCCAAAATAGGTATGTGGAATTCCATAGAACGCCACTGGTGGCAACAAAAAAAATGTGTTACAGTAACTGATGCCTTTTGATACATAGTACATGTATGCCAAATTTTAGGATATCAAAAGTGGTATTACAGATTTTTGGATGTATGATAAATTGACATTCATCATACAGGACGTGGAAAGAAATTCTGAATTGAGAAAACCCAATCAGGAACCTGCGATTGTAACAAGTTTCCATTTTGATTGGGTGAAAGTATTGAAAAGGAATATTCTCAGATATAATTATGAACATGAAATAAATGGATATATTTATGAAGGAATACATTGAGAATTCGTATTATCATATAGCCAGGAAAGTAGTTGTTTTCTGTTGAATAAACCGAGAAAGAATTAATATTTTCATCACATAGAGAATGCGAATTCTCAATGTATTTCTACATAAATATATTCATTTTTTTGTGTTCATAATTATATCTGAGAATATTCCTTTTCAATGGTATTACAGGTATTGATAAATTACAATATATTTTTAAGAACTTTACCACCATGTATCTCAAAAGTTGAGATGTTTAGGACATATAATCATATGAAATTTTCTTCTCAAAATGGGCCTAAGAATCGCCTCCTCATATATTGACATCCAATTAGAAAACACCCTGTATGTTGAAAGTCAATAAGTTTCAAACTGTAAACTAGGATGCTTCCCTATCTGTGTGAACTACAATGTAATAATACCCGATGATAAATGTAGAAATAATTGTACAAAATGTTGTATTTCCTGTAAAATAATTCATTTCATTTTTCGTAAATTGAATAAATTATTTTGCAGGAAATACAACAATTTTAGGAAGCTAAGCTAAGTACCCTCACTTATAAATGTAGGTCAAGATGTGATGTCATTATTTCCGATCGATAGAGTTCGCCTTATGTAACATGTTGAACAGAAACGAGAAAAATGAAAATGAAAGTCTTTGTATGTCATTTTTAGTAGTAGAGGTTGACGAGAATAGTTACCTATTTATTATACAAAAGAGACAACACAGCCTCTAGCCAAAATCCAATATTTCCCATGGGAAAAAAGTAATTTGTGAAAAGTGACATTTTATAACCTGGCAACAAAGATGGAATTTCAAACTTCATTCCCGTCTAAAAAAAAAGTAATTTTTTCTACAAACGTCAAAAAATGACAAGGTTCGCGCATTGATAACAAATTTCAAAGTGACACTTTCTTCAGTTTCCTAAGGTACCAGGATACCATATGCGAAGCACTGTGCGAAGTAAAACGATATGCAAAGAACATACTTCCTGCATTGTATGTAAATTATATGAGCTTTTTATATTTCAACTTTTTGGTCCTCAATTGAGCAAACCTCCAAGGAATCATTAGTTTTTGAATGTTTAACAATTATTTTGTTCATCTCTTAGACCGCACAAAAGTAAATTCCTATAATGTTCATGGAACATCATACGTACCTAGGGAGGATAGGAAAAGGCCTTTTAAGTCAGTTCAATACTATTTTTTATATTAAGCTGAGCATATTACTACTTCAGAACAATATGTTTCACCATTATTCTAGATTTTTTGGGATTTTCTCTCCTCGTTTCTATGAAATAAGAATATGAATATTATTTCAGTATACGTGTAGTAAGGACAAATCAGATGATTTGCCCCGAAATGTCAATGTGTTTAAAGAATTTTCCTATCAGAGAGCCTAGAAGAAAAATGTACTATCTTGTCATTGACAATTTGTATTGAAAAAGGTTTGGGGAAGAGAAGTAAAGGTATATAGAAAAAAAATCAAATGTTCACTTAGCTTTGGACGTTTCGGGAACGAATCTGCTCCCGTTTTCAACATAAAAATGGTTATTTGAATTTGTCTTGAAACTTTTCAGTTCTCAGTGACAAATGTCATTCAAATTACCATTTTTAAATGTTGAAAACGGGAGCAGATTCGTCCCCGAAACGTCCAAAGCTAAGTGACAATTTGATATTTTTTCTATATACCTTTATTTCTATTCTCCACACCTTTTTCTATAATACAAATTGTCAATGACAAGCTAGTGAATTTTTCTTCTAGGCTCTGATAGGAAAATTCTTTCAACACAGTGACATTCTGGGGCAAATATCTGATTTGTTCTTACATATATGTATATTGAAATAATATGTATATTTTTATTGTATAGAAACGAGAAAACCCCAAAAATTCTGGAATAATAAATGTACCACCTCCTCGATCAACCTTACAGACAGTATTCAATATTTTTTACCGTTTGTAGAAAACATTTTTTCTGCAACCGACACAAAAGTCTTCCATTTTGATACCAAAATTAGCTCTTGAATTGACGTTTCTATTACTGACACAAAAATAGGTATGTTGCTAGGCAACACGTTTAGTTCCTAGGAGTTAAAGTTGAACTTTAGTTCCTAGGAGCTGAAGTTGAACTTTAGCTCCTAGGAAATAAAAAGGATGTACTATAGAGTTCATCAAGAGTAAACAACATTTTTATGATTGGTTATTTGTGTTGGGACGCATAACTGATTTGTTTCTAATTTCGACAGATTTGGTATTTCATACTCATGCTGGAGATATAAATACACCTTAGTATAGTCTTTGAGTATTCACACTAGTGTATATAATCAAAGGTATAGTTGAGTATTATTGTTATGATCGAGAAAGTCTCCAAGATTCACATACTTGCTTGATATGTATTTCATTCGTTATTCTCAGGATGGAAAACTTTTTTTAGAATAATCACGGCCAGCAATAAATTGCTGTCTCAAACAACGATATTTCTTACCTACATTTGATTATCAAGCCTAACACAGTGGAGTATGGAGAGAAATAAATAATCGCTTTTATTATTGTTGATATGCTCACTAACTTAACATTTTCCACGTCTTGTTTCTATACCTGGCACTGGCGCGATATTTGCCATTAGATCACCTGGTTCATACATGATACATATGCACTTGTAGTTGTATTTATATGGAAACTAACAATTCGAACATACTTGAAAATTGAATAAACCTGATATGTTAATGCAGCTAGAATATTCTCACCACATGGATTATTTGTTGCATTGCATACATATGGCACGGCATTGGTGGTTACTTCTCATATTCATTTGAGTTGACTGTTTCGTTTGCAGCAAAAATAGCATGTTCCATTCGGATCAAAAGTGACTTTGTTTGTCTGGCAAATTTTGCTTTTTAAATTCGCTTGTCAAGCAAAGTGTCACTTCAGATCCTGATTTTTTAACGAGGCGCATAACTATTATGAAAAGTGACATGATATGTCAAACTGTTTTTCCATCACAGAAAAAGAATAATCATTCAAAATAACACTCACTCTGCGTTCTCCTCGTCCTTCTTCACGATATTTGTCGGCGCCACGTCCTTGACCACCCTGTTTCTAGCCACAAACTTGTACTTCTTCAAGAACGGATATCTCTCCTGCAAATCCGGAGGTACTTTGAAAGTCTTCCGTTTGGGCACCCTAACAAACTCCGTGCATTTCGTCCATTGCGTGAGATCGCCCGTGCACGTGTAGCCCCCCTTGGAAAAGACCAGCTGGCCCCCCTTGCAGGTCTTGCAGCGGGCGAGGACGCCGAAAGTCATCAGGTCGGCGAGCTGGTCCAACAGCTGGAAGGGAGACGGTATCGTCACGAGAATGATTTTTAGTTTATCCACGAATTTATAATAGAATATTGAGAGTATTTTAAGCACGAGCGCAGCAGAGCGGAGCGAGTGTTTAATAAACGAGTGTCTGTCATATAATGTAAGTTAACTTGGTATGCCTGCAGATGTCAATGTCAGATTATCTAGGATGGCATGACTGACAGAGACTGTTAGCAATTAAGGTAGGACTGTGAAGATCAAAATATCTTTATGATACCTGTAAACTTTCTTACTGAAATACAACAAGACATGGCGCAGTCGAGTGGTAAAGCCTAAAGCACTGAATAGTGCATACCTAAAGTGTTGAAAATCCTCCTGTGGAAATACTTCAAACCTGCAATTCAATATGGATGTTCGGTTACCAAGCCCAATGAGCTTTGAGGGTAATGTTGCTGAAAACTTTCGAAAATTCAAACAAAATTTGAGGATATATTTAGATGCATCTGAAAAAATTGACATTAGAGAAGGCACTTAAAATATGTAGAGTCAATGAACTGCCCAAAAAGCAGTGGAGGAATGTTGAGGAATAACTGCCTAGTAGAATTAATGCAGTGAGGAATAAAACTCAGTATCAGAAAAGGTTTGACAACAATACAACAGGCAATTCGAGTAGATATGGCACTGAAGCCTATGATTGTCGGAGCTGTGGAACTAGACACATTTATAGGCAGTGCCCTGCATATGGAAAACGCTGTTCTCGCTATGGACATTTTGATTCTATGTGTCGTAATGGATCAAATGGATCAGTAAACAATAAATCAAGACAAGTAAAGGACATTCAAGAAGTAGATGAGCATGCTGAAAATGACTTGGATGAATTTATGGTATTGACAATAGGTGTAAATGAATTAAAGAATGTTAGAGAATGGAGGAAGGGAGGTAGGAGGTGAAAATATCAATTTCAAAGTGGACACTGGGTCTCATGTTGATATTCTATCCAAATGCTTATTTGATCAAATTGAAAATGTTGAATTAGAGCCAACAAAAGTAATATTGGAAGCCTATGGAGGTTTCAAAATTGTTCCAATCGGCACTGCAAGCATAAATTGTATGTACAAAAGTAATGTAAAGATTCTTGAATTTATGATAATAGAGGGAAATAAAAGCTCACCCATACTGGGGTTGCAGTAGAGAGCTGAGAATGTTACCTGAAGTGGACAATATAGTTTGTGACATGAAAGAACACTTCACCAGAAGCAATGCAGATATTTTTACAGGTCTAGGAAAATTTGGAAAAAAATGTGTGTTCTAAAACTTAAGAAAGATGCTTTGCCAATTGCAAGACCACCCCGCAGAGTACCTTTGGCAATTCAAGGCAAATTAAAAGAAAGTCTAGATGGTCTAGTCAAAAGAGGTGTTATTTCTAAGTGCGAGGGACCTACAGAGTGGTTAAGTAACTTGGTAATTGTAGAAAAAAAGGATAAATCGTTGAGACTTTGTCTAGACCCCAGGGATTTAAATTTGGCCCTGGAAAAGGAATTTTGTTTGATTCCAACTCTAGATGAAATAAGGTCAAGGGTGGGTTCTACCAGGTAGAGCTTGATGAAGAATCAAGTAATTTATGTGCTTTTGGTACAATTTTTGGTGCTTTTAAGTTCAACTGTGCTCCAGAATTTTTCCAAAAATTGAATCAAGAAAACTTCATTGATTTACCTGGTTGTATGATTCATTTTGATGACCTACTTGTATTCGGAAACTCACTAGAACAACATGATATTCATTTAAATCAAGTTATTGATAGAGCAAGACAATTAGGGGTAGAGTTCAATGGTGAAAAAATTCAATATAGAGGTAAGGAGGTCAGATATTGTGGTAACATTTTTGACAAAGAGGGAATGAAGGCAGACAAAGAAAAAGTAGCTGCTGTTCAGAATTCAAAAGAGCCAACTAATAAAAAAAGAGCTCCAAAGTGTTCTCGGGATGATTAATTATTTGCGAAGCTAAATTTCCCAACTTGTCAGATATATCTGCCCCACTTAGACAGCTTTTGAAAAATGATTTTAGTGAGAAACTTGATATTGTAATTCAAAGTGATGCAAGTCAATCAGGGCTAGGATGTTGCTTGTTACAGAACCATAAATCTGTTGCTTTTGCATCGAGATCCTTGAGAAATAATGAATCAAAATTTAGTCAAATTGAAAAAGAATATCTTGCCATTTTATGGTCTTGTCAAAAGTTTCACCACTATGTTTATGGTCGTCACATTAAAATTGACTCAGATCATCGTCCTCTGGAAGCCTTGATGAAAAAAGCAGTATCAGAAGTACACTCTCCAAGGTTGCAGAGAATATGAGTAAAGCTTTTGAAGTATGACATAGATGCGAGATATAAGCCCGGAAGGGAAATGCATATTGCAGATTTGTTGTCCAGAAACTATCAGAGTGAGATTATTGAGTTAGAGGATGATAAATTGTGCAATCAATCAATATGTCAAATGAGAAAAAGCAACGATTTATTCAAGAAACCTTGAAGGATTTGGAGTTTCAAAGAGTGACACAATACTGTTTAACAGGGTGGCCTACAGATGGGAGTAAAGTTTCAGATTCCTTAAAAAGATATTACTCCCTGAGACATGATATACATTTGTTGGACAATTTGCTTTTTTACAAGGACAGAGTAATATTTCCAAAATCATTGCGTAATGATATGTTGACATTGCTGCATGAGAATCCCTTTGGAATAGTGAAGACTCAACTGCGAGCCAAACAAATCTTATATTTGCCACAAATCAACTGTGACATTGAAAATTTCGTGAGAAAATGCCGAAGCTATGAAAAATATAGTAGAAGTAATATCAAAAAAACCGATGATCTTGAGACTTTCCAGAGTATCCCTTTGAAGTTGTTGCCAGTGAATTTATGGATTATGGTGGAAAATCATACCTCGTTTTATTCGATTATTACTCAAAATGGCTAGAGGTTATCCCAGTGAAAGATAAAACTGCAGAAACTGTGATTCTGTGCTTGAAATATATATTTTCCAGGTTTGGAATTCCAGCTGGAGTGATCGCAGATAACATGCCTTATAATTCTTTTGCATGCAGAGAGTTTGCTAGAGCCTGGAACTTTTAATTCTGTACATCAAGTCCAAAATACCCTACAGAAAGAGCAGTACAAACGTCAAAGAATATACTCGTGGCGTTACTGGAATACAGAAACACACCTGTGTCAGGTACTGATAAGACTCCATCTCAGTTACTTCAGTCTAGAAGACTGAGAACAAAATTACCAATGGTGACAAATCTCTTAACGACAGAGAAGATTGATTATGGACTTGAAAAAATAAGTTGGAAGATAGAAGGAAGCTCTACAAAGATGATAACACAACAGCTCCAAGAAAAGAATTTGAGGATAATGAGAATTCAGTTATTCAAGAGGAAAAAACCTGGAGTCCTGCAAAGATAATAAGCAAGGTTGAAAATTTACCCAGATCTTATACAGGGTGAGTCATGACTAACCAGCCATAGCCCAATGGCGGATAGCGGAGGTCAAGGTGAGTTGATATGTATGTAAAAAAATATTTTTTGCCTATTCTTTACAGAAATACAGGGCATTATTTGAATTCGGGGCAAAACTTCAATGAACTAGCAACTTACCTCTACTGACACTCCACAAGATGACGTACTATGAATGAAAAATTCCAGATCCGGACTTGGAAAACTCATTTTCTCTTTAGATGTCAAAATTTTGACCTTCTGGATCGGATTCTTCGGAAACTTTCATCAGAATCAGAAAGATCAGGAAAAATACTGCACACTTTGATCGTTTTGGTAAAAAAATATCAAACAAAATACCGATGAATTTTTCTTCGATTTCGTCCGAGCATATCACTCTCTAAATTCGACTAAAAGTAATTAAATCATTTTTTTTCCTGGAATGATTCAACAGCAAACTTGAGAAGAGGTATAATTCAATAAAAAATCCAGGACCGGACTTGATTTTGGATAATAACAATTATAATTTCCGAAAAAGATTTGTCTGGATCTTAATATTAATCAAGATTCTCGAAATATCCTCCTCCGATTTCTATACATTTTCTGCATCTTTTCGGGAGATCTCTTATGGCTTTTCCAATGATTTGCCTATTATTTCTGATCATATCTGCAGCTGTAACTATCCTCTCCCAATTTCAACTTGTGATAATGTGAAATCATTGTATTCAATAAGAACAATTGTTGCTTTGATAGCAGATTTTTTTTCGAATCAGATATACGTGCCAACTTATACTACATGGAGGGATTTTGATTTGAAGTAATACTGAATATGATCTCATTTCTTGTGAACTCTCTCAATCAGCAAATCGAATTGTGAGTTTAGTAGTTCATGGATTCTGAATACACATGAGAAGAAGGCTGTGATATAGTAGTGTATGTCATTGACTCGATTTTTGACGGTTGTTGAAACTGTCAAATGACATCTAGTTCATTGTTGATAATTTCAAATACATACTGTTACTAATTTTATAATTTCATATTTCATTTCATATCTTCAAAATGCCATTGCATTTCACTAACGTTGAATATGCATATATTATTTTTGTATACGGTTTTTGTGATGGCAATTCAAGAGCTGCATTGGGAGAATACCGAAGAAGATTCCCTGACCGGAGAATACCAAACCGCGACACTTTTGCAAGGGTTTTTCAATTCTCGCGGGAACATGGACGATTTCCTGGAACCAGCAGGAACCTTGAACCAGGGATAAATGGTGCTCGATGTCAAAATATTATCGATATGGTGGGGCAGAATCCAACAACAAGCACGAGAAGAATAGGGCATGCGTTAGGCATTTCGCAATCGAAAGTATCCAGAACTTCTGCCCAACTTGGTGGCGGCGCAAAATGTGAATGAAAGAGGTCTTTACTTTCAACAGGATGGGGCACCTCCACATTTCTCAATTCAAGTGGGAGAATACCTGGACATCCATTTTCCTAACCGCTGGATAGGTCGTGGCGGCCCTCATTCT